AATAACCTTGTCCTCTCTCTAAGCAGTTCAGTGTTAGTATTTCCAGAAAGAGCTCAGATGTACGGTGCTGTCACTCAAGTCTATAAGGATGTGGATATGAAGCCCTTCTTTAAAGGGGAACCCTCCTCTTCCAGCTAGCAAATGTCAAGTGACTCTCCTTGATTTATTTAGACCTACCACAGCTTCTAGACTTTAATAGGCCTGATAGCTGTCTGAGCACAACTTGCACTTTTGACTTACTTGCTTTAATATACAACTTTTTGCTTTACAAGTAGCTTCTATTCCCACTGCCATCGTACCACCCTAATTATGTACATAACTACCATGCTAAGACCACTGCTAGGATTGAATTCTTAGAAAGTAAATGTCTCAGCATCATTTTCCTCTGACTTCTTTGCCTCTCCTCTTTTAAAACATTTCTCATCCCCTTTCCTCCCAGGCCCAAGCATCTTTGGAAAAGACTCCAAAAAACCACTGACCTATACTAAAGGATGGAAGGGATGAGTTGCTTCCCCAAATCATTAATTTTTCCTTTTTCTTTAAAACCCAAAGGCCTTACAAACTGAATCTAAAGCCAATTTTCTCAACTCATTCCTCAAGGAATTCATACTCCCAAGCTGATCAGAAGGGCACAACGCAGTGCTGCCTTCAGCCCGCTGCTTGCTCTGTTGCTATCTGTGAGCCCGAAAGTAGGGAAGACCCGCACAGGAAGGCAGGCCCATGTATAAAGAGGCAATGTTTACAGATGTATGTAGAGGGATACAAAATGCAGTCACCTGTGTGGGGAATATCCTATATTGACCTGTGTGCCAAGACATAGGCAGCATATTTCAGAGGCAGTACAGTCTGGAGATAAGAGAGTTTCCACCCGATGAGCTTGGCTCAGCTAGGCAGTGTTGCTCTGCAAAAGCTATTCCACAGTTCCGCCTCACTCCCTCTCCAATAATACCTTCCTCACCCCAACTGACCAGGTAGGGTTTACTGACTGGGTGTTTGTTTGGCATGCTTTAAATGCTATACAAACATGGCATCATCAGTCAAATGGGGCTATGTAAGCAGTGGATCCGCTCCATTTCTGTGTGCCCTGGAGGTCTGTGATCAGTGTCCCAGTTGGAAATGTGACCTGGTTTTGTGACCTCTGAGACTCTTGATTGTTTCCAGCAGAACTGCCATGCAGTGGCTGCCTGTAACCTGCTACTGCCAAAGATGTATGGGCTTTGTTCTGTTTATTGGTTACTGTGGGACCTTCTTCTCTGTAGTTTCTCCAGACTTGAAAGTTTTTTGCTCCTTGCAGTGTAAGACCTGCTGCATAGCCACCTGTGATGGAGAATGCATCAGATATCACTTGATGGTGCAGGACTGCAGTGTACACATGTGCTACTGACAGCATATCCGTTAGCAGGGCTCTGATGACTGAAACTGCCATCTCTAATGTGCAGGAAGCGAATACACTGGAGTGTTAATGCCCGAGATGCTTGCTCACTGCAGGGAATTGGAAGGCAAAAATCAATTCTGCATGTCTCACAAAGCCTGTTTATTTAACATCTTCAGTAGGACAGTAAACAACATCTCTCTCCTCTTGCCATCCTGAGTGAGCAGTATTGTAGATGCAGAGGGGTGCTTTGCATTAGAGATCTCTTTTGAACGGGGCAGAGGAGGAGGCTTAAATGTACATAGTAGAAATGGAATTGTTTGCAACAGCTGCACCAGTTGGCTAGTGCTGATGGCCCTGACTTTAGCAACCATTGCTTTCAACAGAGCAGACATTGCTGGAGATACCAGAAAAGTTCTTGCTCAAGAGCTAAAGCACTGCAGCAGGCTGAAAGAATATCTCATCCGTATGACCATTCTGTTGATCAAAGAGAAGTAAAGCTGTGCCTCAACTTCCCTGCAAATTTAGACTTGTTCTTTATGTTGGATTGCACTACCATTGCAAACAGTTCTGCTGGTGGGAGAACAGCAGCAGTGAGCAAAGCTTCCCCTTCACACTGAATAGAGTGGATAAAAGCGAGAGGAAGCACTGCTCGGTGTCAGCTCCACTGCGTGCCTCCTTGTCCACCAGGAGCTGAGCTGCAATGTGGTCCTTTCACAAAGGACACTAGGTTGCCACAAGAGGAGATTTCTTGACCTAATTTGGACCAGTTCCAAACCTGCCATCTGCAGTAATAAAGAGCTCAGAGATCTTGCATTAACCCAGGGAAGTAAGTCAGCCGGCACCGTCAAAGCAGGATGTCAAACACAGAGGGAAGAAGCGGAAACGTATCTCTGCACATAGTGATGAAGCCTGATGGTTTCTAGTGAGAAACCTGATGTCATTTTAATGAGTCAGGCATGGGGTAAAAGTTACAGAGGGGGTGGCATAGCGTTACTGCCCAGCTCAAAGGATAATAAGCATCTTTTCTGGTGCAGATGCATGGGACGTTATCTTGCGCTCATAAATGCATGCCAAAGCCATGCTGAATGGGACAGTGAGACATCTTCTCTGTATCATCCCATGTTCAGAACTGCCTGGGGAGCCACAGGTGCATTTTACTACAGCTTGTAGCTTGCCTTCCTAGCACATTGTGGGACATGGGGCATTTCTCAGGATGCCTCAGCTTCTCCAGCCTTAAAACCTGGGTAACAAAGCTTCTTTTGTAAAACTTTTTACAAAAGAAGCTTCCCCCCCAAAAAAAACCCAAACAAAAAAACCAGCCCAGCCCAAACCAAAACTACCCATTACCCCATCACACAATACAACAAAAAATTAGGTTAGAATGTGTGGAGGTGATCTGATCCAACCCTCTGAGAGTAAGGCCAACTTCAAATTTACATCTCATTGCTCTGAGCCTTGTCCAGTCAAATACTAACTATCTCCAAGAACAGAGATTTCACAGAAACTATCCACCAAGCACTTGGCAGGAATGTGGTTTATGTGGGTAACACAAGGCACTCTATTCTCTCTCATCAAATGCAGCCTCACTGCCTCTGATTCTGTAGGGATTATCTGAGGATTTCTGTTTTTCTGAACAGAACTCTCTTAAGGAGATGCAAGTTCTCTGGGTTCTGAGGTTAAAACTAAGGTATTGCTCTGAAGTGAATGAAAGGTGTTTTTCCAGAAGCTTTCCTGAACTGGTACGGTCAGAATTTCCATGCATTCTTAAATGGCTTTTCTTTCATCTGGCGTGTCTTTGAAGAGTCCTTTCAAAAGGCAACTCAGGCCTGCTCCTCATCTCCACTCGCCAACAGGCCAGCCAAAAGCTGTGGGTGGGGCAGGCCAGCTGGACTCACCGGTCTGTTTCAGAGGCCCTTGAGCTCTGAAAGCCATGACTATGACATTGCTAGAGAAGCGAATGCTCGCATGGGAAACAAATTCCAAAGGCACTGCCATAATGTGGAGGAAGGGGAATCTCTCCCTTATATACCATTTCAGGTGGCAGATCACCTATCATCTTGGAAGGACACAACAGTCCAGCAGGCACCGGCCGGACTTGGGAGCTTCCTAGCTTCTGCAGTCAGCTAAGAGGTGACAGGAGTGAAGTCAAACTCCTTCCATTCCTCTTCCATCATCTATGCTCCCAGTCAAGGTAGTCCTTGGAGCAAGGCCTCTTGCACTATGAGAAATACCAACACATGTGTATGTACTCTTTGGCATCCTCATGCTAATCTATTTGAAAATGGATGAGGCAGTTGTACTTCTGCCAGGATTTGAACTGTTTCCAATTCAGAATTAGCTTACGGCAGTTTACCTTCCCTCAGTCAACACTTTGATACCAGTGAAATAGATTAAGACCACAAAAGCTCTTACAGCAGTCTAGCTAAACCGATTAAAAGACAAAACAGAACGTAACAGTCGAGTCTGGTTTATACCCAGGCATGTACCAGGTGTTGCCTACGGGGCCCTGATCTCTATGGGGAACTGAATGAAACTGTAACAAGCCGATTCAAATGTGTTTTGAGGGCATTCAGCTGTATGCTGGATAATCTTGGTCCAAAGTGTGTTTTCACTGCCTCTGAGCTGAAAATATAAGTCCTTCCCTCCCTCTGCTCCAACTTCATGTGCCAAGAAGCCATGGCTTCCCTGGCACAAGTGCAGGCCGGGAAAACAGAGCTCTGTCAAGTGTGTTGGGGAAGAAACAGGCACCAAAGTAAAATGCCAGCATATGCTGTGTATTACTGGGTGTAATGTAGTATGCTCAAGTATGTTACATTTCACGCAGAGTTTGCGCTAAGAGAGCCACATTTCAAATCTCTCTTATTAGTGGCCACTAGAGTGCGGGTTGATTTCAAGACTGCTGGGCAATGATTTACATGAGAAGATACTCAACAAGCCTTTTCTACATAAGCAATTACAGGAAAAAGCTGCTGTCTTGGCCCAATTAATTTTGTCTCTGGAAACCAGCCCTGAATAAATTAATATAGCTAGGATTAGAAAAGAAGGGAGAGTGACAAAGATACAGTGTAATATCTGCAAACTTCACTTTGCTGGCTGTGACCTGCAGGAAATCTGTCCACGGGTTTTTTCCAATCCTATTAACCAAGGCGAGAAGATTGTGTGCCCAATGAGGAGCACACAGATCCCTGGGAGGAAAAGAGAAGAATCCCTGTTGAGAAACTCCCTTCCAAATAAAAACGAGCTGAAATCCTACCAGAGCTCTCAACCACCGTTTCAGAACTGCAGTCGCTTTCCAACATGAAGCTCCTTAAGGCCACCCTAAGGAAGGGAACATGGTCTCTGGGGAAAGGTATTAACCTTCTCCACACAGACTTTCAGAGTACTCCTAACAGCAGCTAATTGTCCTCCTGCTTTATCTCCTGAATTATTCTGGCCAGAGGTAGACTCTACCATCATGCCAAGTAGCACCCTCATGACCGAAGACCATCTTTACATATGGAGTGCTTTTCATCTGAGGGGACCTCAGAGCAGGGTCACACAGCCTCCAAGACTGAACCTGTCTCCCAAGGTGAAATCAGTCAGTACCGAACAAAAATGCATAAATTCACAGGCAGCAACTGATGAAATGAATGTTCTCCCACGCTGGAATTTAATACTGGCATCCTAGCATTTCTTATGAACTGCTCTAGAGTGCTCTCAGTGCCTGTCTACCTCGCTAAAATTTTTAAGCAGGCATTTCTGGCATTGCTGCCATCAAGCTGCAATGTTAGTTTAGCACCAACGCAATGAACACCATTCTCCCAAGCAAACTGTTGGCATCAAATTCTATAGCATCCAAGCACAAGCCAGCCACACCCAGATTGTAATGTAGAAAGCTGCCATTTAGGATTGCAGTTTATTGCCAAAAAAAAAGCAGCAGCAAAAAATCTTGCAGCAAGCATGAGATTAATTGCAACTACCCCAGCGTCCCTCCCTAGAGCCTGGCACAGTGCAGAAGGCAGGAAAGCTGACAAAGCACACAGCAGTAGCCAAGGATGAGGCGGCAGAGAAAGGTGAGTCCTCCCTGGCTCCAGTGGGTAGGAATAGGGAGGGGAAGGCAGGGCATGCTCCCAAGGAAGGAAAACCAGGTTAAAAATGCAGAACAGGAGAAAGACAAGCTCCTGGAAGCTTTGCACACAAGAGTTAGTGTGAGGAAGGCTTCCATCCTTCGTTATACTCACGTTTGCATTTCTGCTCCTTCCAGCAGGTACTGGAGCAGAACTAGCCCTGGCTAAGTGGAGGGGCACTACCTGGGGAACAGGAATGGAGCAACCTGCCAATCAGACAATGTCATAAGATAAAACTCAGCCCAAACAGAAAAGATGAACATTATCTCAGGCCATAAGCTCACCGCTGCCATATGCAAGGACTCCTTGCAGGTAGATGACCTACCACGCGCATCTGCCTACTTCATAGAGCACTGGTTTACTTGTCACCATCCCCACTGTGGCCAGATTTGGAGCCAGTCCCTTTGAAGGCTCCCATGTTTGCTCTCAATCAGGTGCTGGCTTTCTCTGTTGCTTAAGTTTGGCACTATTAACCAAGAGAAGACCGAATCCTGCCCTGCAACACTACAGTCTTCCCTCTGCAGCTTGAAACCTGCTCCAAAACTGGGGAGTCCCGAGAAAGAGCCCCTTGTTTCACTGGATTAAAACATGCAGAAGAAGCAGTGTTCTTGACATGGATCTACTGTGATCATTCAAACAGCCAAAAAAACCCCACGGTCTGCCTTGGCCTGACCTAGAAGTCCGCTCCAGAGAGCTCCTGCTCCATTCCATCCGATCGGCCACCCTCCCTGCCCAGCCAGTGTACGTGGTGCAGTCCCGCGGGTCGGCAGACTTGAGGCCCCTCTCCATCTGCTGGAGCAGCTCCCTGATTTTGTTATTCAGCCGCTGCGTGAATTCGGGGGTCAGCTGTGGAGAAATAAACCCCACCAAACGTGAAGCAAACACTGGCAGGCAGATGGGGTCTTGGTGAGCTGGAGGTAGCCGGAGGGCGCACAACCAGGGAACCGGGTGTTTTTAACCTGACAGGTCTCTGCTAGAAACCCTTGGGTACCTCAGGACCAGGCTGGGCTCCTGGCTGCCTAGCTTGGCTTCCCGGCCGGGGCGGGAGCGGGCCCTTCCCGGGGACGGCCGCCTCACCCC